CCTCCATTTTGGGGTCCGTTTCTCGACCCCAAAACGGGGGCCGTTTTGTCGGTAAAATTTTAGTCGCCGGACGAAAAATAGCAAGAGTTTCGATTGTCTCTGCACGTACGCGACAGAAGTTTTCCACGCCGCTGCTTTTCCATGGTTTTGCAGCGCCGCAGGCACTTGTTCTCCACACCCTGCGAACATTTATGGCCACACATTCTCTTGAACTGGGGAGGCCCTCTGTGGCGGGACCGGTTTTTGCTAGGGTTTTTGGACCCAAACTGGCGTCCAGAAAAATCACTTTTTTCGATCCCTTGAAGGAGCAAAAAGTTTGGGAAACCTGTGAGGGTTGAGAATTGCTGGGGAGAAAGCGTTTGGCCTGTATGATGTTCTTGATCGAAAGCAATCAAGCTTACGGATGAATGGTCAGCTGCCTTTTTCGGCAGTCTGATTGCAGCCTTGCACGCTTGGTGCATGTTTGTTTGCTACAAAGCTTGTGGTGGACATCTGCCGTGAGTCGACTAGCGCCCTGAGACCAAACGTTGTGAACCCATTCTTCGTATTTTGTGGTCTGTCTTGAGAGGAAAGAAGGGTGGGGAGATGTTAAGCGGAGGTTTGGCGCCGTGGAGTCTGTCATGTTTGCGTATGTTCACAGGAGCCATCTCTGGTCGTTCACTATGGCAAGGAAACCTTGTTTCGTTTTATTTGACGTCGTTGTTTGATGCATGTTGTGAAGGATGGGGTTTTGAAAAGATTTTGTTGAGGTTTTGAGCTCGCGTCCTTGATGTTTGTTGCAAGCTACGCCAGGCTTCTGCCCGGGTCCCGGTTTCATCTTAGCGTCAACGTTCAAATTTTCCCTTGCAACGCACTATATAGGGTTTTTGCGGTCACAATCTGGGTTGGGTCGGACCGTCTGTTACAGTGCGCGATGCCACCTCGGTACCACTTCATTACGGCTCGGGCCCTTTATTACAATGAGCGGTACCGCCTCGGTACCGCTCGGGCCCTCTGTTACAATGCGCGGCGCCGCCTCGGTACCGCTCGGGTCCTCCATTACAATGCGCGGTACCGCCTCGGTACCGCTCGGGCCCTCTATTACAATGTGCGGCGCCGCCTCGGTACCGCTCGGGCCTCCATTGCAATGCGCGGTACCGCCTCGGTACCGCTCGGGCCCTCTATTACAATGCGCGCTTCCACCACAAGCAGGTCGGACTGGAGACCACTAGCATCCAAAAGCAAGTCGGCATAGTGGTCCTGCAAACTTGTTTTGTTCTATGTAAAATTCATTCTCCCACAGCGTGATCGCAGGACCCGTGCTCTCTCCCTGCAGTTTCCACTCCAGCTGGTCCTGCGCGGCCGGGGGGACCAGCTGACTGATCAGGAACAATGTGAAGGGGCCAAGCGGATCACGACGCGTGCAAAAACCTTGTCCATTGACGGCCCCAAAACCAAGCGCCAAAAACGCAGTGGATTCCAGGGTCGCCAAAGTGGGCCTCTCCAGCACAGACAGTACAGACTTGCACAGTGAACAGACCTAGGATAACGGCTTCAAAGTCCTTGAGGCAACACAAATTAGTATAGTACACGTGCAGGACAAAGGCCATCAAAAAGTTGTTACCTTCATTGCGTCGCCAACCACATTCCGTGGATACCAGGCACTTTTGTTGACCACAAAGGTCATCAAAGAATTGTTCATTATAAACAGCCTGATGTCCATGCTAATGAGCAAACTTCTAACATCTATGTAAAAGAGACCAAAACGGACCATCATATTGGAGCACATAATAAAGGTTTACGCCAAGGTGCTCGACTCAGTGGTTTCTTTCCTTTACCAG